CCCCCCCCCCAGAAAAGAAAAATTAAATGAGAAAAAAACCTAGTCTGACAATTACATTTAATGTACCTTCAGAGTTTTGGATTCAGGGTTTAGTTTTTCCAGTGAAAAACTCTCTTTTAAATGTCTTTGGTCATGACGGTTTCTGAATTTGAAATATTTAGAATCACTTAAGTGTATGTTACACTTGAAACTTAAAAGAAACAAAGACAAAAAACCTTATATGAAGGAATTAAAGATAACACTTTTCACACCACTATATATTTAGGTCATTTTCATCTTCAATCCATTAGACACAGGGTAGGTGGAGATAACGATCCTAAATCCTACCAACTGTAGCTCATTGTACCAACTAGAGCTGTAGGGGCTAGGTGAAATTTTTGGTGGATTTTTTTCTCTTAAAGATTGAAGCCGCTATATTTGATTACCTAATAAAAATATATATTAGGCATCTGAGAACAGATCCCTTGACACCCTCTCCCCATAATCTCCTGATTTGTGGCGCAGTGATAAGGAAGATCTGACCTAAGAACAGGTTGCCCAGTTAGGACATAACCCATGTTTTAATGTAGTTTGTCTGTTACTATTTAGCATTAGCTTTGAAACATTTCCAGAAACCTTTCTCAAAATACTAAGTGGTCCCCATAGTGATGACTAATCTCAGTTAAAACACCATGGCCTCAGCCAGTGTGAACGCCCTTAATGCCACCAACTCACCTTTTTCACTTTCCCCATGGGGTGCACTGCCTGTGTAGACACTTTGGTCCTCCAGGACTAACCTTTGAGTTCTGGTTTGCCTTTCAGTTGACCACAGTCGGATTAAACTACATCAAGAAGATAATGACTACATCAATGCCAGTTTGATAAAGATGGACGAAGCCCAAAGGAGTTACATTCTTACGCAGGTGAATGGATTGTCCACATTTTTTTAATGGCTCTCAGCCTTACTTGATATCAGCCTAAGAACTTTAGAGTACTGTCATTTATACCTCAAGTAAGATGCACCGCATCCTTTCAAAGGTCAGGTTTTACGCAATCCAAAACAGCAACGAGGAAGGAAAAGAATCTTCCTTCAGAGATTCAGGTTGGTTGTCACCCGCGTCTTTTCTGGGAAGTATGCCACTTGCTGGGCTTCTAGAAAACAGCATGAAATGCCAGAACTGCCTGTGGTCTGTTGACAGAGGCAGCAGAGCCGTGGCAAGAGAAGCACCCGTACCTGTGTCGATTCCATAATTGAAGAGGGTTAGCAGTAGACCAGTAATCTCTGCCCAGGTAGCTACTCAGAATTTCTCAGCATGGTCCTCATTCTTTGGCCCAGAAAAAAAAGCATCCTTAGATTCTGTGGATAAGCATGCAAAACCGTTCAAAATTCCCATTGGCTTTTGACATTTTTATGAGAACAAATCATAAAAATGATCTAACACTTGATCTTCTTGTGA